TGGTCTGGGAGTCTCCACGCTCAAAGTTCAAATATCAGCCTTAAGCTTTTTTCTAATTAAGGATTTGGCCTCCAATGTTTTCATCAGAAGATTTTTCAGGTTCATCAGGCTCAAACGACCGCCTAGGCGATCGGTGTTTTCAACTTGCGATTTAGCCCTGGTCCTAGAAGCTCTTAGTGTTCAACCCTTTGAACCTTTGGAGGAAGTTCCATTAAAAATTGCCTCTTAAAGTTTCATTTCTGGAAGCCATCACGTCTGCTAAAAGAGTGGGAGAACTTCACGCTCTGTCCTCCTCGGATGAATTCACAATTTTTCACAAAGACAAGGTTGTTCTTTATCCAAGACAGAAAGAATATTAATCAGCCGATTATTTTACCTTCGTTTTATAGCGATGCTTCATCTCCTCAAGAGCTCAAATGGCAGAAATTGGACGTCAGAAGAGCTTTATTTGTATATCTAGCCAGAACGAAAGAATTCAGAATTTCGGATCATCTATTTATTAATTTTCAGGGTCACCTCAAGGGGAATGTAGCTTCCCGCGGTACTTTATCCCGTTGGCTCATTCAAGCTATAGAATTGGCGTATTCTACAGCAGGTCTTCAGTCTCCAGCTACACTTAAAGCCCATTCTACCCGAGCAATGGCTACCTCATGGGCAGAAAAAGCACTTGCATCTCCAGAGGTCATCTGCAAAGTAGCATCCTGGTCGTCTTTTAACACTTTTATCAAGCACTATCGGTTAGACATATTCTCTGCCTCTGAAGCAGCCTTTGGGCGTAAGGTGTTACAAGCTGTGGTGGCCTAAGTCCCACCCAGATGGGGATCTTGCTATATCCCAGAAGTTACTGCCATCATATGACAGAAAAAACAGAAATTTTTACTTACCGTAAATTCCTTTTTTTCTTAATATGGTGGCAGTACTACTTCCCTCCCTCTTTATTAAAGAATTTTTGCAGTATATATTTTGTCTGTGTTTCTTTTTCTTGTCACGTACTGGGGTAGGTTTTGTGGTACAGCATTTTATAGGGCAAGGGGTCGGGTCTTTTGATCTTAAATTACTTGTTAGATGTCTTGTCCACAGGGAGGAGCAAAACCCAGAAGTTACTGCCACCATATTAAGAAAAAAAGAATTTATAGTAAGTAAAATTTTCTGTTTTTCATCCCAAGAATTTATGCCCCTATTTATACATGACAAAACCTGGCTTTAGCAACTGCAGATTGACATTGCATATTGCTGCCTAATTTGTTGTCTATAACAATTCCCAAATCCTTCTCGTGTGTGGTTATCCCTAATTCACTACCATTTAGTGTGTAAGTTTCTTGTGCATTCTTAACCCCGAAGTGCATAACTTTGCATTTCTCTACGTTAAATTTCATCTGCCATTTTAGTGCCCAGTCCCCCAATCTATCCAAATCCCTCTGCAGCAAAGCAATATCCTGCTCACATTTTATTACATTACAAAGTTTTGTGTCATCTGCAAACACTGATACATGGCTTTCAATGCCTATTTCAAGATCATTTATAAATATGTTAAATAGAAGTGGTCCCAAAACAGAAACCTGAGGGACACCACTTACCACTTTTGTCCAGCCTGAAAATTTACCATTAATGACACCTTATACCTGATATGATCGGTCTATCTTGAGGGTTAGTTTAATTTTTGAGCCTGTGCATAACACTCAGAATGACAGGGGGATGTGTATTAGGAACTTTAACTTGTGGCTTAGTGAATGGTGTCGTGAGCAAGGATTTTCTTTGTTTCTCATGGTAGCTCTATTTGGAATCGAAATGAACTGTACAAAAAAGATGGTTTGCATCTTTCTCAAAAGGGAACAAATGTTCTCAGCAAGCAGTTCAGAGGTTTTGAGTATTTAAAATAGGAGGAGGGACAAAAGGGTAATAAAACATTAATCCTAGTCTGACTGCCGACTGTGATGGCCGCCTAAAGTCAGAGCTCCGCACCAGAGGCTCGCGAGTCAGCACAGCAACCTGCTACAACCTGAACCAGAAACACTTAAACTCGACCCCAGAACACTCAAAGCAGCACGGATCGACTCGCCATGGATGTCTAACCGCAAACCCGCCAAAAAGGGCAACAAGGACGCTCTGTCAGTGGCAGACATGCTCACATCCCAAAGGCAGTCGCCACATGGCACTATAGCAGACACCGACTCCGGCAATACGGGCTCACTGGACCCAGCCACCGTCGCAAGTTCAGCTACTGAGGCCTCTTCCAGCATTATCCTCCAATCACTTGCAGAAGTGAAGGGATATTTGGCCTCAGAAATCAAGCGCACAACGGCGGAGGTGAAGGCCGAGATAGGGCCCTGCACAATGGAAACTAAGCACAGCACCAAACGAGACCGCTAAACTTACCAATACCCTCCGGCAATGAATCACTGACTTAGAGATTGAACTGGAGGACATCTCCAACAGGTCGAGACGCAACAATCTGCGAATCCGAGGCCTCCCAGAAACAGTGAAGGAGGAAGATGTGGAATCAATCCTTGTGCACAACTTTCGCTGAAGCCTCCCGGACATACCGGACTATTTATGGCTAGTGGACAGAGACCACAGAGCCCTCGGGGCCAGGGGCCCGAAGAAAAGTCCACCGAGGGATGTCATTATAAAGTGGCACTACTTCAAAAACAAACTGAAACTGAAGCACAGCAGAATGCAACCATTTACCCATGAGGGAATAGAAATTCAACTATATCAAGATGTCGCTCCTGCAACGCTCCTGCGCAGACGGGAATGGAGACCAGTCATGGACCTCCTGCGGCAAAAAGGAATTTGATTTGCATGGGGCTACCCTTTCAAGATCATAGTCTTCCATGGCCCTAAGCCAGCAATATTATTACCCACTACGAACATCCGAGACTTTATGAAAGAATTGGACATCTTCGTTCCGGAAGACTTGCCATTGCCAGCGGACTCAAAAGAAAAAACGATTATAAATAGGATGGTGCAAATGAGAGAAGGATCTTAGTACATGCAGCAACCAAAAAAAAAAAAACAGCCGTTTGTGGCTTGTGATCATGTGGGGGGGTTATGCCTCAGGGTCGTGCGTTAGCAGGGTATTCCGGTTGTTGTGTGTCCATGTCCTCCACCATGGCGACTGTGTGGGTTTGCGTCGGCAGAGGTGTGTGTGATGAGACCAATCTCGCCACATTGCATTGGAGAAGCCTGGTTGCTCGCCTGCTGCCTTTGGACTATGGCCCCCTGTTAAAAGACATCTTTTTTACCTGCAGAAAAGCTTAATTCGTGCTTTTCTGCCTGGGGTTCGGTAGATTTGTTTGAATGTGTTATACCCCAGATAGGAATCCCATGGAGCCCATTCGTATGAAACTGACTGTAAAGACTTTGGCTCCATGGCGATTAAACTGTATTCGTGTGGTCTGAGCGCCATTCACTTAATAATATGCGCTCAGACCTGAGCTATCTGGGGATATGTTAAATGTATAGTTTTAATGTAATGTGCCTTACCTGGTGTATTTTAACAGTAATGCTTGTTTTGTGTCCCCATGTGCATAATGGAGTCTTGTCTCTGACATGTCTGTGTTTTATGTATAAAATGGGACTTTGTGTATTGTACAGTATTTTAATGCTTTGTGCTAACCATGTGCATAATGGAGTCTTGTCTCTGTCCTGGGAGATAATTTAATTACTTCTCAATTATCTCCTGGGCAGAGGAGAGGAAGCCAGGATGCATTGTGGTAAAAAGTATATGCAATTGGGTTACCTCTCAGGATAAGGGGAGGGAATCTGTGGGTTGTAACTAATATGTTACTGGATATTTTATACCTCCTGTATTTGCAAGACTGTAATAAAAACCAGGCTGGGTGTGCCAGCACCTCAGACCACTGCTTGACCCTCAACACGGAGCTCTGTCTCGTTCTTGGGGGGATTCGCTGTATGCTGCTAAGGACTGATTGCCAGGAGTGTAAGCCGCTTGGGAGCTTTTCCCGTTCGTCTGTTAGCAGCTATTCGTGAGGTTCCAGTTTGGGAGCTTGGAGTGCTACCTTATTCCCTTGTATGCAGTTCGGGAGTTTGGTGCATTCACTTGTATTCAATTCGTGAGTTTTCGTGTTCTGCAGTAGCTGTGCCTGTATCTCTGGAAAGGGGGCCGATCGCCTAAACAGTTTTTACCCCTTGTGTGCAAAACGTTCCGTTACAATTGGTGGCAAGCGGCGGGATCGTTCCCACAGAAGGACAGCTACATGAGACACCATTTCTTTGGATTTACAAGTTAAGGGCAATGCATGTCCTAGTACAGCGACCCTGAGAGCACCAGGATGGAACCAGCAGTGGAGTACAGCTACTCTATGAGAGAGTATGACCGGATGGTGTGGTTTCACCTAAGCTTCTTTGGATCCAACCCACTGGAGAGATCAGTGCGGTTTGTGA